TCGCTGCACGTTTCGATTTTGGCCTTCACATTTCTAGCACGAGTCGTGCTGCAGCCACCAGAGCGATGGCTCGTACGTACTTGACTGCCAGCCCACTACGCCCAGACCAGCTCGGCTCTGAGAGCTTCTTCTGAGAAGGAATGGAAAAGCGGAGCGGTGAGTGTGACGGAACAAGACGTGGTTTGGTGGTCGCTCTCATTTTCACGCTCCACGCTCCACGCTCGCATGCGCGTCACTTTTCGGATGCAGAAAGCAGGAAGCTTTCCTGTCATGTTAAAAAACTTGGGCAATATTACGTGAAATAACAGCATGGTTAGATTAGTAGTCATTTTGAATAAAACAAAGTCAGCCAGCCATATACTTTCGAAGTTAGTAGATGGTCGAAATTGGAAGGGTGTATGTGACATTCAAGTGTACCGTACATAAGGCACCCGTCAGGTCACGTGTCTGGACTGGAGGGGTTTCGACTGCTCCCAAAATGTGGGAGTGTATAAGAAAATGCCATTGCAAAAATCTAAATGCTCCAATATCACCTGCATTCAATATTTGCCACTGCAGGTTTCCACTTACCGTTAGTGTACGGCACTAAGACCAAAGCAATCTCTATCAATCTAAATTCACAGAAAACAAAGGGCTCTACCAAAAACGCACTTACCATATCATCAACCTACAGTATCCACATGTCAAATGTTGTAGTCTTAGTGATGTGTGTTGTAGGGGGGAAAACTGTTAGGGTTAGGTTTATGTACACCAACCAACCTTAGTCAAACAAAACACTTTCATTCTTGACTTGGTATCAGCTAGGTTAGGATCCTGTAGGATCCCGTTCCTCTCGTTCACGTCCGTAGCGCCCGAGCTTGTACCGTACCCTAGTGCCCGTTACGCCCGTACTGTCCCCTAGCGCCTCTCGCGCTCGTCTCTCTCGTGCCCTAGCGCCCGCTGCGCCTGCGTCGCGTCGCCCCTGCTGTCCCGTCCCGTCCCGTTGCCCCTGCTGTCCCGTCCCGTCGCCCCTGCTGTCCCGTCCCGTCGCCCCTGCTGTCCCGTCCCGTCGCCCCTGCTGTCCCATCCCGTCGCCCCTGCTGTCCCGTCCCGTCCCGTCGCCCCTGCTGTCCCGTCGCCCCTGCTGTCCCGTCCCGTTGCCCCTGCCGTCGCGTCGCCCCTGCTGTCCCGTCCCGTCCCGTCGCCCCTGTTGTCCTGTCGCGTCGCCCCCTGCTGTCCGGTCCTGTCCCGTCGTCCCTGCTGTCCCGTCGCGTCGCCCCCCTTCTGTCCCGCCGCGTCGCGCCGTCCGTCCCGTCCCGTCCCGTCCGCGTCGCGCTTCTCGTCCCGTCCCATCGCACGCGCCCCGTGCGCCCTGCCCGTCCGTCGACCCCCGCTGCGCCCTGCCCGTCCGTCGCGCCCCGTGCGCCCTGCCCGTCCGTCGCGCCCCTCGTCCGTCGCGCCCCCGCTGCGCCCTGCCCGTCCGTCGCGCCCCGTGCGCCCTGCCCGTCCGCGCCTGTCGCGCCCGTCCTTGCCGGTCGCGTCCGTCCCGTCGTGTCGCGCTGTCTGTCTCGCCCTACACGGGACCTTTAGGCGTTTAGGGTTTCGGCAGCAGCAGTATCCACCTCTACGCTTCCGCTATAGCGACCCCTAGGGTCCTGCGTTTTGACGCTGAGGGTAGGCCGCTCGAGTTCTCGGTCTGGCTCCTGCGTGCGCGCCGCCTCTTAGAGAGCCAGGTTCAGGCACACGAGACTCGGTGGGTGCACGCTTCCGGTGACCTACCTAAGCCAGCTGACCCTGCACCCTTAGCAGCTGACCCCACACCTGCAGACAGTGACCATTATGCACGCGAGCGTGACGTGACAGCGTGGAAATCGCGTGACGCTGCGGCCTGCATCACCCTCATCAGCCTCCTCCCTGAGTCTGAGGAGACCCACTTCACTCAGGTTCGCACGGCTAGTGAGTTCCTGACTGCGATCAAGGGCCGCTACGCTACTCCCACCACTGTCTCTCTTGGTCGTCTGTTCCTTCCGTTCCTGTTTCCTGACCTCGCGTCGTTTGAGCGCACTGCTGACTTGATCACTCATCTGCGCTCGCTCGATTCTAGCTACCGCGCTGCTTGCACTGACGCACAGCTTGCACTGCTCCCTCCCCCCATGGCGATTACTATCTATTTCATCGCCACTAGCCTCCCTGACCGCCTTGCCTCGGTTTGTGACGCGCTTCTTCTGAAGCACCCTAGCGAGCTCACTATCGAGGTCCTTGAGTCGGCCCTCAAGGACGTCAAGAGCAACCTCCGCTCGGTAGCCTCTGCCTCTGGTGTTGTGCCCCTCCACTATTCAACGGGTCCACTGTCCATCAGCTGCCCACCGTTACTGCCTCCCTCGCCACTGCCGCTACTGACGTGGCCGCAGCGGCTGTTACGACTTCTTCGCGGTCTTGGGGTAGGAGTGGCAGGAGGGGCGGTCAGGGTGCGGGCGGAGGCGGCGGAGGCAGTGGGGGTGACGTGGCGAGCGACGGCGGCGGGAGTGCAGGCGCTGGAGGAGCGCCTCGTGCAGCGGCCGATGACTCCCCTGCTGCAGCTGGTGGAGGTGACATCCGGGTTCGTCAGCCACCCACTGGTCTGCCAGCCGCAGGGGGTGGAGCAGCGGCGTGGTACCTGACTCGACGACAGCAGCAGCAGCCCCTCCCCTCGCAGCAGCCACAACAGTAGGTTTTGGGGCAGGGGTCAGGACAGCATCAGCTGCAGTGCGGTGTCGTCCACCCTCCTTGCACCTATCACGTTCTGAAAGGTGCCCGCCGCAGCCAGCCTTGTGGCCGCAACCACCCACCGGGTCAGTGCTTTGCTCAGCTTACTAACACGGTTCGATTGGCCTATGGCGTTGACAGCCCTGCCCCTGACTGGCTTCCCCTTGTTCAAACGTACGGCCCCGCTCTGTGGGGCATGTCGGCTTCTCAGTTGCTTGATCTCTTAGGAACTCCTCATGCTATGTATGCTATTGTTGACTCTAGTGCTTCTGACTCTTTTTACTCGAGTGTTGTTAGCTTAGGTGCTAATCTTGCTGAGGTGCCTGTTGCTAGTGTAGGTACTTGTGTAGACACTAGTCCAGGAGCTGCTCCGGAGGACGCTTCGCTGTCTTTCACTCTGGACTCCGGAGCTTCGCACTGTTTCTTCCGCGACTGCAGGACACTTACCCCACTTCCTACGCCGGTCTCTGTAGCACTAGCTGATCCCACTTCGGGACCAGTCACTGCTCGCTACACTACTACGCTTCCGTGCCCGGCTGTTCCCTCCGGTTCTCTGACCCGCTTCCACGTCCCCTCGTTCTCGAGGAACTTGGTGGGCGTGAGGCTGCTCGTGAGTCAGCACGTGGGTGTGTGGATTGAGCCTTCTGGCGAGACTGCGGTTTGTGTCGACGGGGACACGTACTCGCCTCTCGCCACCTTTACCGCTGAGCCGGGCTCTGGTCTCTACACACTTCACACTAGCCCCTGAGGGCAGCAGCAGCAGCAGCAGCAGCAGCAGCAGCAGCAGCAGCAGCAGCAGCAGCAGCAGCAGCGGCAGCAGCAGCAGCAGCAGCTACTGCCCTCGACCCCTGTCACTGTCCCCCGTCAGGTTCCCGTGTCTCACCAGGTTGTCGCGTCTCCCCAGGTAGCTGTGTCTGGTCAGGTTCTAGTGTCTGGTACAGCCTCCTCCCTCCTGCTCCCCCCCCTGGTCCTGCCCCGTCAGGTGTGTCCCACGCTACCCCTCCCCCCTCGGTAGCCCCCCAGGTGCAGCCTCCTTCCCCACAGTCCTCCTCCCAGCCTACAGCAGACCCTCCGGGAGCCGGTTTTCGTAGCGAGGACCCTGGAGGTGCTAGCTCTAGAGGTGCTGGAGTTGGAGCAGAGAGCGTACCTGTGCAAGGTCCTGGTTCTGGGGGTGCTGGAGTTGGAGCTGAGCCCGTGTCTGCAGGAGACTCTGGTCTTCGGGGAGCTGGTGTTAGTGGAACTGGTGTTAGTGGAGTTGTCCCTGGGAGTGCTACGACTAGGGGTGCCCCCTCTGCTAGACATGGAGAGCCTGGGACGGACCCTGTTACTTCTGGTGGTGCTGGCTCTGGGGGTGGTGCGACTGGTTCTTTGGAGAGCGGTCCTGGGGCTACCACCGCTCCGGACACTACTGTCAGAATGTATTTGCTGTTTAGCCTGCAGTGGGGTCCTCTGTAGTGAGTACAACCCAATTTAGGGTATGCTATTTGTATCCCAACCTTCTATAGTGAAACCCCTCATTCTCTTTTCCAATTCTCTCGACAATCAATTCTCTCGACACTCAACTCTCTCGACACTCACTAGCCATGGCTCCTAAGTCACGCTAGGATTCTAACATGGTATTAAGAGCATAAATTTCCTAGGACCTAATGTTAATGGGCCCACCACCTACTGCCCTGCTAGCCTAGGCCCCGGCCCGTCGCTCCTTGGCGTCGCCCCTAGCCCCTAGGCTCGGCCCCTTGGCCCCGTCGCCTCGGCCCCTTGGCCCCGTCGACTCCGTCGCCCCGCGCCCGGCCCGTTCTTAGCCCGCGATAGGCCCGTACCTAGCCCGCGCTCGGCCCCGTTCCTAGCCCCGCGCCCGGCCCGTACCTCGCCCGCGCCTGGCCCCGTACCTAGCCTGCGATCGGCCCGTACCTAGCCTCGCGCCCGGCCCTTACTTAGCCCGCGATCGGCCCGTACCTAGCCCGCGCTCGGCCCCGTTCCTAGCCCCGCGCCCGGCCCGTACCTCGCCCGCGTCTGGCCCCGTACCTAGCCCGCGATCGGCCCGTACCTAGCCTCGCGCCCGGCCCGTACTTAGCCCACGATCGGCCCGTACCTAGCCCGCGCTCGGCCCCGTTCCTAGCCCCGCGCCCGGCCCGTACCTTGCCCGCGCCTGGCCCCGTACCTAGCTCGCGCCCAGCCCTTACCGAGCCCGCGCCTGGCCCCGTCCTTCGCCCAGCGCCCGGCCCCGTCTCTTGCCCGCGCCCGGCCCGTATCTAGCCCAACGCACGCCCCCGACCCTAGCCAGCGCCCGGCCCCGTACCTGCCCAGAGCCCGGCCCCGTACCTGCCCAGCGCCCGGCCCCGTACCTGCCCAGCGCCCGGCCCCGTACCTGCCCAGCGCCCGGCCCCGTACCTGCCCAGCGCCCGGCCCCGTTCCTGCCCAGTGCCCGGCCCCTTACCTGCCCAGCGCCAGGCCCCGTACCTGCCCAGCGCCCGGCCCCGTACCTGCCCAGCGCCCGGCCCCGTACCTGCCCAGCGCCCGGCCCCGTACCTGCCCAGCGGCCGGCCCTGTACCTGCCCAGCACCCGGCCCTGTACCTGCCCAGAGCCCGGCCCCGTACCTGTCCAGAGCCCGGCCCCGTACCTGCCCAGCGCCCGGCCCCGTACCTGCCCAGCGCCCGGCCCCGTTCCTGCCCACTGCCCGGCCCCTTACCTGCCCAGCGCCAGGCCCCGTACCTGCCCAGCGCCCGGCCCCGTACCTGCCCAGCACCCGGCCCCATACCTGCCCAGCGCCCGGCCCCGTACCTGCCCAGCGTCCGGCCCCGTACCTGCCCAGCGCCCGACCCTGTACCTGCCCAGCGCCCGGCCCGTACCTCGCCCACGTCTGGCCCCGTACCTAGCCCGCGATCGGCCCGTACCTAGCCTCGCGCCCGGCCCGTACTTAGCCCACGATCGGCCCGTACCTAGCCCGCGCTCGGCCCCGTTCCTAGCCCCGCGCCCGGCCCGTACCTCGCCCGCGCCTGGCCCCGTACCTAGCTCGCGCCCGGCCCTTACCGACCCCGCGCCTAGCCCCGTCCTTCGCCCAGCGCCCGGCCCCGTCTCTTGCCCGCGCCCGGCCCGTATCTAGCCCAGCGCACGCCCCCGACCCTAGCCAGCGCCCGGCCCCGTACCTGCCCAGAGCCCGGCCCCGTACCTGCCCAGCGCCCGGCCCCGTACCTGCCCAGCGCCCGGCCCCGTACCTGCCCAGCGCCCGGCCCCGTACCTGCCCAGCGCCCGGCCCCGTTCCTGCCCAGTGCCCGGCCCCTTACCTGCCCAGCGCCAGGCCCCGTACCTGCCCAGCGCCCGGCCCCGTACCTGCCCAGCGCCCGGCCCCGTACCTGCCCAGCGCCCGGCCCCGTACCTGCCCAGCGGCCGGCCCTGTACCTGCCCAGCACCCGGCCCTGTACCTGCCCAGAGCCCGGCCCCGTACCTGTCCAGAGCCCGGCCCCGTACCTGCCCAGCGCCCAGCCCCGTACCTGCCCAGCGCCCGGCCCCGTTCCTGCCCACTGCCCGGCCCCTTACCTGCCCAGCGCCAGGCCCCGTACCTGCCCAGCGCCCGGCCCCGTACCTGCCCAGCACCCGGCCCCATACCTGCCCAGCGCCCGGCCCCGTACCTGCCCAGCGTCCGGCCCCGTACCTGCCCAGCGCCCGACCCTGTACCTGCCCAGCGCCCGGCCCGTACCTCGCCCACGTCTGGCCCCGTACCTAGCCCGCGATCGGCCCGTACCTAGCCTCGCGCCCGGCCCGTACTTAGCCCACGATCGGCCCGTACCTAGCCCGCGCTCGGCCCCGTTCCTAGCCCCGCGCCCGGCCCGTACCTCGCCCGCGCCTGGCCCCGTACCTAGCTCGCGCCCGGCCCTTACCGAGCCCGCGCCTAGCCCCGTCCTTCGCCCAGCGCCCGGCCCCGTCTCTTGCCCGCGCCCGGCCCGTATCTAGCCCAGCGCACGCCCCCGACCCTAGCCAGCGCCCGGCCCCGTACCTGCCCAGAGCCCGGCCCCGTACCTGCCCAGCGCCCGGCCCCGTACCTGCCCAGCGCCCGGCCCCGTACCTGCCCAGCGCCCGGCCCCGTACCTGCCCAGCGCCCGGCCCCGTTCCTGCCCAGTGCCCAGCCCCTTACCTGCCCAGCGCCAGGCCCCGTACCTGCCCAGCGCCCGGCCCCGTACCTGCCCAGCGCCCGGCCCCGTACCTGCCCAGCGCCCGGCCCCGTACCTGCCCAGCGGCCGGCCCTGTACCTGCCCAGCACCCGGCCCTGTACCTGCCCAGAGCCCGGCCCCGTACCTGTCCAGAGCCCGGCCCCGTACCTGCCCAGCGCCCGGCCCCGTACCTGCCCAGCGCCCGGCCCCGTTCCTGCCCACTGCCCGGCCCCTTACCTGCCCAGCGCCAGGCCCCGTACCTGCCCAGCGCCCGGCCCCGTACCTGCCCAGCACCCGGCCCCATACCTGCCCAGCGCCCGGCCCCGTACCTGCCCAGCGTCCGGCCCCGTACCTGCCCAGCGCCCGACCCTGTACCTGCCCAGCGCCCGGCCCTGTACCTGCCCAGAGCCCGGCCCCGTACCTGTCCAGAGCCCGGCCCCGTACCTGCCCAGAGCCCGGCCCCGTACCTGCCCAGCGCCCGGCCCCGTACCTGCCCAGCGCCCGGCCCCGTCCCTAGCTATGGCCCCGTCGCCCCTAGCCATGGCCCCTCGCGACCTGCCGCCCCTAACCGCGGCCCCGGTGCCCTGTTGCAACATGGTGGGTGAGGGGGTGGCAAGAGGGGGTTCCTCCTGCCCGCGTGCCCTACAGTCGCACGCGCAGCTCCGCCCCCGCCCCCCTCCCCCCCCTCCCCCCCCTCCATGGGGATGGCGGGGAGAGGGTGTGAGGGGGTGGCGGATGTGCCTCAGCAGCAGCAGCTGCCGCCACACCTCCTCCTCTCTCTCTCCCTGCCGCACCTTGTGGTGGGAGAGGGGGGGGAGCTTGGAGGTTCAGGGGGAGGCAGGAGGGGATCTGCAGCACCAGCCCCCCCCCGCCCCCCCCCCTTCTCCTCCATCTCTCTGCTGCGAGTGCAGCAGTGGGGGGAGGGTATGGGGGTGGCGGGTGTGGCCAACCTGCTGTCGCCCGAGCGGCTCCTGCACCGCCCCTTCTCCTACCTCCCCCCTGCTGCGGGTGCAGCAGTGGCGGGGGAGGGGATCTGCAGCACCAGCCCCCCCCCACCCCCTTATCCTATCTCCCCCTGCTGCGGATACGGCAGTGGGGGGAGGGGACCTGCAGCACCAGCCCCCCCCGCCCCCCCCCCCTTTCTCCTCCACCCCTGCTGCGGGTGCAGCAGTGGGGGGGAGGGGATCTGCAGCAGCAGTGGGGGAGGGGAGTTGCAGCATCAGCCCCCCCCCCCCCCCCCCCCAGCCCATCCCCCCCCCCCCCCCCCCCCTCCCCCACTTCTCCTCCATCCCCCTGCTGCGGGTGCAGCGGTGGGGGGGAGGGGATCTGCAGCCCTGCGCGCCCTGCTGTCCTGCTGCCCTGCGCGCCATGTGCGCCCTGCAGCCCTGCGCGCCATGCGCGCCCTGCAGCCCTGCGCGCCCCGCGCGTCCTGCTGCCCTGTTTGCCCCGCGCGCCCTGCTGCCCTGCAGCCCTGTGCGCCCTGCTGCCCTGCTGCCCTGTGCGCCCCGCGCGCCCTGCAGCCCTGTGCGCCCCGCGCGCCCTGCTGCCCTGTGCGCCCCGTGCGCCCTGCTGCCCTCTGCATGCGCCATGCACAGCCCCCCCCCCCCCCCCCAACCTCCCCCCCCCCCCCCCCCCCTCCCTTCTCTTACCTCGCCTTGCTGCGGGTGCAGCAGTGAGGGGGAGGGGATCTGCAGCACCAGCCCCCCCCCCGCCTCCCCCCCCTTCTCCTCCATCCTCTGCTGCAGGTGCAGCAGTGGGGTGCGGGTATGGGGGTGGCGGGTGTGGGTGCAACTGTGGGGTGGCGGGTGTGTGAACCGTCCCCTCCTCCTCCTCCACCTTCGTCTCCCACTGCTGCAGCTGCCGCTGAGGGGGGTGGGTGTGTGGGAGCCGAGGGAGTGGTTCTAGGGGGGTGACGTGGGAGTGGAGCTAGGGGTGCAGCAAGGGGTGTGTGAAAGGGGGGTGGGACAGTTGGGGGAGGTTGAGCGGAGGCTGCCGTCTTGTCGTCCGCAGCACCTGTAGTCCGGGGCTCTGCTTCTGGTAGCTCAGAGAGCCTGCTGCGCCTATCGGCTGTGGGTCCGTTGCTCCTGCCGCTCAGAGTTAGCCGCAGAGCCAGTTACTCCTGCAGTCCGGGGATACGGCCCCGGTAGCCACAGTGCGCGCCGCTCCTGTTGCCCGTGTGTCTGCAGCATCAGCCGTCGCCTCATATCTCCTCTCCTCTCATAGTCCAGCCTCCTCCTCCTCACTTGCCCTTTGTGAATGCCTCTAGCTTTGCTTGTACTTGTGAACTTGTTCTATGACTGCTTGCTCTACTGATTATACCCCACTTTGACTATGGGGGTGTGTCAGAATGTATTTGCTGTTTAGCCTGCAGTGGGGTACTCTGTAGTGAGTACAACCCAATTTAGGGTTTGCTATTTGTATCCCAACTTTCTATAGTGAAACCCCTCATTCTCCTTTCCAATTCTCTCGACACTCAATTCTCTCGACACTCAACTCTCTCAACACTCACTAGCCATGGCTCCTAAGTCACGCTAGGATTCTAACATCTACTCCTCCCCCCCACCCCTACCCGACCCGGCACCAGGCCCGTGTTCGCCGTGCCCGTGAGAAGCAGCTGGAGTTGGAGCGAGAGGAGAGAGATTTGGAGTGGCAGCAGCTAGAGCTACAGCGGCTGGAGGAGCAGCAGCAGCAGCAGCTGGAGCAGGAGCAGCCGCAGCAGCAGCAGCAGCCACCTCCTCCTCCTGTCTCTGGTCTTCGGACCCTTGGTCTCCCCTCTCCTTCTCCTCCCTCCCCCCCCTCTCCTCCCGTCTCTGGTCCTCCGCTTCCTCCTCTTGACCCCTCTCCAGCTGTTTTCCCTCCTCCTCTACCCCCGTTGTCCCCTCCTCTTTCTCACACTTGGTATTCGCATCGCTCTCCTCGTGCTTGTCCCTCGTCCCCTGTTCCCTTCACTGACCTTCGTACTGCCCTGTTTTGTTCTAGTCCGCCTCGTTTGTCTCCTTCTGTAATTCCTTCTCCTCCTGAGTCGGCTCTCACTGCTTCCCTCTCTACTCCTGTCAAAGACTACTACCGCACATACCGTCCTGTTCTCTCTCGTTCTCTCGCCTCTCTTGTTACTGACCCACGTGCTTCTCTGTCCTCGGTCTCCGCTCTTACTGCCGCAGTCACTGAGTTTGCCTCTACTCGTTGCCTTGACTACGCCACCCGTCTTGTGGCTGCTCCTCCTACCAGTCCTCTGGCCGTCGGGGGTGAGTCTGCCCTTGGCTGTGACGCCCTAGAGGATAGGCAGTTTGAGCTGGAGTTCCTGGCAGCCGCTTCCCCTCTCCTCTGTGCCATGATGCTCGCCCCTGAGGGAGACCCTGACGCCCTTGACATACCGACTCCTCGCACTTACGCTGAGCCAGTGTCCGGGCATTGGGCCTCTCGGTGGAGAGCTGCCATGGACTCAGAGATGGCCTCCTACAGATCCACAGACACCTACGTCGATGAGGTTTCCCCCACCTGGGGTGAACGTAGTCGATGGCATGTGGATCTTCAGGGTGAAGTGGCCACCGAGATCTCCTCCGGTCTTCAAGGCGCGCTATGTTGCCAGAGGTTTCAGACGACGCGATGGAGTCGACTTCTTTTAGACCTTCGTGCCTACCCCGAAGATGACCACTCTTCGGGTGGTACTGCGCGTAGCAGCATAGAGAGACTACGAGTTACACTCTCTTGACTTCTCCACTGCTTTCCTTCAGAGTAGCCTACACGAGGAGGTCTTGTTGCGTCGTCCCTCTGCCTTCACTGGCACTTTCCCTCCTAGGACCCAGTGGAGGCTTAGGCGACCGGTCTACGATCTTCGTCAGGCTCCTCATGAGTGGCACGACACCCTTCGCTCTACCCTTTCTGACCTTGGTTTCCAGCCTTCTTCTGCCGACCCGTCGCTGTTCGTTTGTCGTGGCTCCACACCGTTCTTTGTACTGGTCTATGTCGATGACCTGGTTTTCGCCACTGCTGACAGGGTTGTTTTGGCTGACGTGAAGCTCGAACTACAGAAGAGACACACGTGCACTGACCTTGGTGAGCTGCGCCACTACCTTGGCCTGCACATCACCAGGGACAGAGCTGCTCACACCATTACACTCTCACAGTCATGTCAGAATCGTGAAGGAATGAATGACTGAACTAGAAAGCAGATGGGTACAAGTGGGAAACCTAAAAGTGTTGTACCCTATATGAACTACCCCACTACAGCCTAAACAGACTATAGCATATAAGTTTGACACACCCCCATAGGCAAAGTGGGGGAGAACAAGAGGTCACAAGACCGGTCAAGAAAGGCAAAGCAAGCTCACGGCGGATCACAAAGTCACCACGCATTCTGAGCACAAGCAAATGGCCACAAGGCCAGTTCACATGCAGAGTTATATAAAGGAGAACAAACAATACAGTGAACACAACCTAGCAAGTGTAAGCATGCAGGTATATGTATAGAGATCACAGTACAAGCAGAGTCAAGAAGTAAGCAAGTGAGGCACAGTAGGTACAAGGCCTAGAACAGTACAGAAAGGCTGATGATCACAAGGCTGAAGTGCCTTGGTGAAAACATCAGCACTGTTTGCCCGAGAGGCCACGTAAGCAAGACGAAGCTGACCACGCTGCTGCAACTCTCGAGCAAGGAAGTAGCGCAGAGCAATGTGCTTCGTTCTGTGCTCCAATCTGTGCTCCTGACACAAGGCAAGCATTGCCTTGTTGTCGACGTACAGAACTGGAGGAGAACGAGGCGCCTCTCCCAAGTCAGTCAGCAGGTAGGTGAGCCAGCGTAACTCCTGTGCAGCCATGGCCCCAGCGTAGATCTCAGCCTCACAACTGGAGCTGAGAACAGAAGAAGAGCGGGTAGACCGCCAAGAGACAGAACCGGAGCCAAGGCTGAAGCTGTAACCCTGTGACGACCGCTGCCTAGCCAAGTCGTCAACCCAAGAAGCGTCTGCGTGACCAGTGAGGACAAATCGAGCCCGTCCTCCAAGCACGAGCCCCATGCCCGACGTACTGCACAAGTAGCGCAACACCCTCTTCGCAGCATCCCAGTGCACCTTTCGGTGCCTACCGGGAGCCACGTAGCGAGCCAGAAGGCTGAGAGGGTACGCGAGGTCAGGTCGTGTGCAAGTCATCAGGTACATGAGGCAGCCCACAAGCTCTGGATACGGGCCACTCGGCTCTACGGACTCGTCCGAAGGTGGAGCTGAGAGCGAGTGACCGGTAGGCAGAGGAGTGGACTGTGGCGAGGAGTACGTGAAGCCGAAGCGCTGAAGGACCTGCTGCACCATGTGTGACTGAGTCAAGGTAATGGTGCGCTGTGCTCTGTCCCGGGTGATCCGCAAGCCAAGATAGCTTGTCAGCTCACCCAGGTCTGTGCACGTGTGTCTCTTCTGCAGCTCCGACTTCACGTGGGCGAGTGCCTCAGTGTCAGCAGTAGCAAGAGGAGGTCGTCTACGTACACGAGAACGTAGAACGGCGGCAGAGTGGCGTCGGTGCGTAGAAACATCGACGGGTCAGCAGTGGAAGGAACAAAACCAAGAGCAGCAAGAGTCGTCCTCAGTGTGTCGTGCCACTCACGGGGTGCCTGTCGGAGACCGTAGACTGGCCGCCGGAGGCTCCACTGGGTACCAGCAGGAAACGACCCAGTGAAGCCAGGTGGGCGGCGCAGCCAAATCTCCTCGTGCAGGCTGCCCTGTAGGAAGGTTGCGTTGAAGTCAAGCGAGTGTAGCTCGTAGTCACGCTGAGCGGCGACGTGCAGCAGCACCCAAAGAGTGGTCATCTTCGGGGTAGGGGAGAAGGTCTGGAAGAAGTCAACTCCCTGTCGCTGACTGAAGCCTTGTGCAACGTAACGCGCCTTGAAGACAGGCGGAGAACCCGGCGGCCGCTTCACCCTGAAAATCCACATGCCACTGACGATGTTCGCCCCAGGCGGGGGAACCTCGTCGACGTAGGTGCCTGTGGACTTCCAGGATGCCATCTCGGCATCCATGGCTGCCTGCCACTGAGAGGAGTAAGGACCCTCTATCGCCTCTGCGTAAGAGCGCGGGGTCGGGATGTCTGGTGCATCCGGGTCTCCCTCAAGGGCAAGCAGCATGGACACTAGATGAGGTACAGCAGCGGAAAAGCACTCAAACTCCTCCTGTCTGTCCTCAAGGACGTCCGTGCCAAGAGCACACTCACCCCCGATGGACGGAGGACAGACAAACGCAGACTCAGACTCAGCAACAAGACTAGCGGCGTAGTCTAGACGATAGTGAGCAGCAAAGTCAACAAGCTCAGCAACTAAGGCAGACGCAGCAGTGGACTCAAAGGAAGGGTCAGTGACAACTGTGGCTAGGAGACGCGTGACAGTAGGACTAGCAGTACGAAGGGAATCAGACTCCGGGTCAGCAAGAGCAGGAAGAGAGGACGCAGGAGGAGACGGTAGAGGGACACGCTGTGGAGCAGTGGAAGGACGCAGAGTCATAGAGTGAGTGCCGGGGACAGGAGGAGGACGCTGACGCGGAACACGTTGACCAGTGCAAACAGCGCGAACAGGCAACTCAGGACGAGACTCAGGCGACGCAG